CATACCATACCATTCCTTACCATACCATACCATACCATACCATACCATACCATACCATACCATACCATACCATACCATACCATACCATACCATACAATACCAGCTTTATTTATTTATAGAGCGCACTTTAAGCACCCACAGGACCAAAGTGCTGTACACATACTAAAACATTCATTTACTCATTCGATCAGTAAAAAAAAACATTAAAAATAAACACTACAGTTGGTGTTTACATTAAAGAACATCAATGTTTTTTTCTCTTTTTTGTTAATTTTCAATCTAAATTATAAAGAACAACATAATTTACCATAAACAAACATGAACAAATTCAATTCTATCTAAAAAATAAAATACAGTACAATACAATACATGATGCAGCATGCCCTCTGTCCAGTAGCATGGAGCATGTAGCTGCTAACTGTTTAGCTCTGTGTGATTTTGTTTAGTTCTCACCACATTAAGATGTCACCAAAACGCACTGTAGGTCTTCTCTGGACTGCATCTAATAGTCATGTTTTTCCATGATTCATGGTACTTTAAGAACGTCTACTCACTGTACATGATGTGATAAATCAGGTGTGTTGGAGCAATGGAAACTGTTGTAATAACTAAAAAGTAATAAAGTCATAGTTTCATTTTAATCTTATAATGTACAGTTATAAAGCCACACGAACAGTCACTTTTCTCTGAGCTCTATTAGCAACWTGCTCCTCTGTCACGGTGACAACCAGCCAGCAGTGTCAGCATTCAGTACAAGAAATACATTTTGCTAGCTCATATGATGACCTATCGACTGATTTTGTAACTCAATGCTCAATAAAAGACATTAAAATGATGTCACTGAAGATGGAGCTGAAAAGGCAGCAAAGACAAACAGGAAGTAAAGAAAGGGAAACAAAGATTGACGCTCTGTTTATTTAGGTTTAATAAGAACGGAGAAAAACGTGAAAAGATCATTTTAGTACAGAAATGAGACAGAGAAGAGTGATAACAGAGAGGAAGAGGACAGGAAAAAACGTTTGATCCCATAGGTAGACGATGGATGCATGTAAATCAGTTTTACCTTCCTAATAAAAGCGCGCGCATGCACACACACACACACACACACACACACACACACACAAAAGCTTCCTCATCACCCTGGCCATGCAGCCAGCAGAAAGAAGCACGCCCTTCAGCTGAGACGCTATTGGCCAGAGATGATGTCATCCCTTCCTGGAGGTAGAGCAGGGAGCTGTACAATTGGCTGGCTGAGATGCACAGAGGCAAAGTGCTGCTGAGGTATCACTTCCATTCACAGAGGCAGCAGTGGAGCTCGTTAGTGTGTGTGTGTGTGTGTGTGTGTGTGTGTGTGTGTGTGTGTGTGTGTGTGTGTGTGTGTGTGTGTGTNGTGTGTGTGTGTGTGTGTGTGTGTGTGTGTGTGTGTGTGTGTGTATGAACGCTCCCTGCTGAGGCATACTATTAGGGTATTGTTATTAGGCTGCTGGGGTTGCGTCCATCACTCTGAGGTAGAGGCATTACCTGATAGGATACTCCACAACTCTACTGCACAGAGAGGAATGTCACTACAACACACACACAAACACACACAAACACACACAAACACACACACACATACAAGTTTGTATTTCTATCCTTATCAGAACTGTTCATTGACTTCCATTCATTTCCAATGTTTCTATAGCCTGAACCTGACCCCGTTAACCTAACCCTAACCCTAACGACCCCAGTACATACCTGACCCTAAATCTAACCTAAACTCAATTTACACCTTGGTCATAAACCTAATCCTCAACCCAAAAATGAAACTCCACCATATTAGGACTGGTCTTTGGTCTCCACAGGGATTACTGGTCTTAACAAGTTAGGTGTGTATACCAGAAGCGGTTCTAAAAAGGTAACATATACAAGTACACACACAGATGATGGGGGTTGGGAGATGGGTGTTGTTTCTCTTGTCATCAAGCTGTTGTCATAGTGATGCAGATGGACATTTTTTTTGCTCACTGGGACCCTCACTTTGTAACACATACACACACACACACACACACCACTTTTCATCAACGCTCACATGTGCACAGCAGCCTTGCCTTTCACAGCTGCTTTCAAGGAAACAACAGGAAACAGCCTTGGTGAACGTGTGTTTGTGTGCGAGGCGAGGCGGGGTGGGAGAGTGTAAACACTCCCAGGAGAGGCTCATCCTCAAAGAGACGCTAGTGAGAAATTAGTTTGTGTTTGCCTCTAACAGAGCGCTGCACACTCGTTCACCTTCATCTTTGTTGCCTGTTGGGAAAAGGCAACGGAGGGGGGGAGGAATGTGTGCTCGCTTCTATCTGTTACTAAAATATGTCTCGAACCACTGGACAATATTTCATAAAACTTTAATAAAACACAAACTGGCTTAATGAGGTATCAACTGACAGTCATTAACACACTTGAGTGTCAAGTGTAATAATTTGCGCAGAGTTTGTCCAAAAAAGCTTCCTCGTTTCTGAACATAAGATGGTTTTAGTTTGAAACTCTGCAGGCCGAATGCATTCCTTAAAGTGCCTGTAAAACCAACTTTTTTGTAATAAAAATGAATACATTCTTGGAAAGAAAACAATGATAACTTTTAGCAAAATAAAGTTTCACGCCKCTGAGATGAACAGTTGTTGAGATATTCCCACACGAAGTAACAGGAAGTGATGTCAAMGGGGAATGTGTGAATGYGAACAGAGCAGTGCTAAAACGGCCAACAACACAGGGTGTAGGGAAGAATCGGAGGTTTATTTAGAATATTTTTAGTAGAAGAGAGATGAAGAAGAGTCCAAGTTCAAATAATTTTGTTTCAATAAAAACCAGGGTTTCTTTTCTTAAATAGTTCCCCTTTGATGTCACTTCCTGTTTCTCTTTGGCTGAGCCAAGTTCAAAAGAAAATATGTCATTTTTGTGACTAAATGGGTAAAATCATGTGTTATCCCAAGTTTCTTAAATGTAAAGACATTTTCTTTGATTTCTTCTTCTTCTTCTTCTTCTTCTTCTTCTTCTTCTTCTTCTTATTATTATTATTATTATTA